CCGGGTACATGCCTTATGGTGGCCCTGAGACCAGGGTCCATGTGATCTACCCCAGTGTCCCCTCTAGTGCTCGGTATTCAGCAGGTGCTCAGCATCAGCAGGTGCTCAGTGAGGATTTGTAAAAGTCAGTTCTACATTTGCTGTGTCTCGTCACCAGCCTCTAGAGAGTCATAATTGTTATTTCTACTTCTTCATCCTTCCTCTGTGATCTCAAAATGGTCTGACTCAATGCTTCGCCAAGAAGGAACAGCCTCCACCCAACACTGCCACCTCAGAGGTGAAGGGCTGGGCGAGGATGAGAGAAGTTTCAGCTTTTGCCCCCGTTCTGGGAGGCAAGAAAGGCAGCCACTGACACAAGCCAGGATGATCATGAGGAGTGCTAGCCAGTGACTCATTTTGGAATCTCGTGAGCAGCCATTCTCTGAAAACTTCCCCTATAAGACCTGGGGACTTCACATCAGGGATTGGTGGGGGCTCAGTATGGTTGTCCTGCCAGCCCAGAAACCATAGTATGGGCCAAGAACTTTCTTTGGGGTGTGGCCTATTCTGTAGTGGAGGGGTGAGTTGTCTGTCTGGTTGTTTGGCTGGTACTGTGGTGGGGACCTTAGCCCTGTGGTGTGTAGATCATCAGGCACATAGATTGTAATAAGGCTGAAGATTACAGGCTGCAATCGTGGGCCTCTCCAAGAAAGGGGGAAGTTCAGAAGATCCTGGCAGCAATGAGGGCAAGAGGAGGGTCGGTAGGTCTGCAGATCCACCTCTGCCAGGTGCTGGGCTCTCCCTCCCCTCCCAGCTCCTCTCTTCCTCTGCTTCTCCAAGTCCAGGCCAGGCAAAGGGGCCAGCTAGAGGCGGTGGAGGGAAGGGAAGTGCCTTTTTCCTACCATGAATCCTAGATCTGGATAAGGGAGAGGTCAGGATTTAGAGTAGAAGGGGGACAGTTGATGAGCTAAGGAGAGGCTACAGCCCTAACCACTTCCAGCTACTAGTGTGATGAAAGGATTTGAAGCTCATACTTCTACCCGCAGAGGCCTTCGCTCCTGACTGGGGGTGCAGAGAAAATTGTTCATGAGCCCTCGAAGGTGCCCAGTGATTTGGGGAGATCACTGTGGATCTGCCCATGGGAGGGCCCGTCTGGGGCCAATAGTGTGTGGAAACCGCATGGTCAGCATCAGCCCTGGAGACCTGAAAAAGGGCCAGGAAGCAGAGAGTAGAGAGACTTCTCCAGGCACCTTTGAAGGGAAAGAGAGTTGCATGTTGGGGGACTCAAGTCAGGACAGGTGTTTCAGTATAAAAAGGATCTCCAGTAAAAGGACAGAGTCCCCTCAAATCCCTTCCCAGATCCCACAGCACTTAGAAAAGAGAAGGAGCATAAAAAATACTTTGATGATGTGGGTGTGCCTGACAGTACAGAAAAGCAAGTCTCATGGCAGGCAGTGTATCCCGTTACACAAGAGGATCATACCGCACTTCAGGGTAGAGATTTTACATACATCTTTATATAAATGCATCTATATGTATACAGCCTCTGCCTAGAACAGCCGGGCTTGCTTCTTCAGTTCATTCCTCTTCCAGAGGGCTAGCCGCTCAAACTCCGAGATAGTCATGCCAAAGACTTGGTAGAACTCTTCCTGGGACAGGTGGCGCTGAAGGAGGTGGAGGGGATGGAGAGGGAGCAGTGTGAGGATGGGAGGTATGGGAAGGGGCAGGTGGGTACAGCAGCAGTCACTGAATATTAATGGGAAGCTGTGTGATAAATACATATTGAGGGGATGAATGTGGGAATAAGGTTTCCCCAGAGGGACCTCTGGAACTGATCTGGCTGGGTGGCCCCTGGCTCAGGTGGAGCTTTGGCTTTGTCCAAGCACCTGCCATGCACCTTTGTGGACTTCAGCTTTCTGTGTCCCTATTCTGTGCATTTGTGCCCAGAAGTGTGTATGGATTAATGCCATCCCACACCCCTTTTGGGAGAAAAAGGAGGCATATCCAGGATTTGAAGGTGTCTTTCTCTCTTCCTTCCTTCCTTCCTTCCTGTCTGTCTGTCTTTTTTGGTACCGGGGATCGCCACTTGCGAGGCAGGTGGTGGAACCACTGAGCTAAATCCCTGGCCCAATTTCTTCTTATTAATATTTTAACAGATGATCTAGAATGCTGTTCAGTCCAATGAATAAAATTGCTGCTTACATTTTTCAGCCCACTGATAAGTCCTTTGAAAATCTCTTCCTTATATAAAAACAAGTATGCCCTATGATCAAACATTATTCTGCATTCCATGGAAGGCTCTTCCCACTTTCTGTTTTTCCTTTCCCTTTAAGCAGCCATGAAAGTGATTCACTGTTAAAAGCTTTTAGATTTAGAAGTATATGACTTTTGAAATGGGGCAAAATATTAACAGTTGGTGCATTTGGGTGGAGAGTAGATGGATGATCATTTTATTATTCTTGCAACTTTTCTAGAGGCCTGAATTTTTTCAAAATGAAATTTAAAATCAAGCTTAAAAAGAGAAATATATACATGTTTGAAGTGGGCAAGGTCTCTGTTTTGTTTACTGGTCCCCTGAAAACAACCAGATCAGTACATGGCCTATATAGGCAAGATATATGCCGTCTATACAATAGACTCTTCATGAGTATTATTTTGAAGAATGAATATTGTACCTGAGCTCCTGGAAGTTAGGGTCAGGCTCTTCTTTCTAGAGACCATTCCTTGAGCTGGTGCAGGGACTAAGGCAGTTTCTAGCTTAGTGGTCTGAGTTCTACACTTTAGACATTCTTGGGAGCTTTTAAAATATAGTGATGCAGGTGCTCCTCCCCAGGTTGTGATTTAGTATGCCTAGGGTTGGGAACCCTGTACAGCAGAAGCTCCCTGGTTGACTCTGATGCTCACGAAGGCTGAGCTCGCTTAGCCTGAGCTGCTAGGGGCCTGCAGAATCTGTGCATCTCTTGGCACTGGCTCAGCGAAGCTGCCCTGGGAGCTGTCCCCTTCAGCACCTGCAGCCACTCAGTTCCAGACAGTGAACGGAGGAGGCCCTTGTTACACATGTGGGGAGGCTCCTCCATGTTCTCAGGCTGCTAACCCAGCATGCTAGAGCTGGGAGGACACACGGAACTTCCTGGCCACTTGCATTCCCCTCCTTGTACCTCTAGCTTGGGTTATTCCTCAGCAACAGATCAAGGGTGGTTCATGTGCTTTCCCAAGGAGGACTGAGCCTTCTGTTTGGGAAGCCTCCATTCAATTCTACAAACATTTCCTGACACCTCTCCCAGCCAGATCCCTGTGGTAGAGGACAGTTTTTGTCCTTAGGGAGATTAAGGTCAGCCAGAGACAATGAAAAAGTCAATGATCTGATATAAAGGAGATCTGGACCCTGGACATAGGGTAAGGGAGGCTGAAGGAACAGGATCCATCCTGGGGGAGGGCTGGAGGAGGGTTTAGGGCACTGGATTACTAGTATGGGCCCTGGGGCCTGAAAAGTCTCACAGGATGGGAAAAGTATTCTATGGAGATGGGAAGGTAAGGGGAGGCAGGGAGAAGCACATCAGGGGAAAGGGTGAGGTATACCAGACCAGAGGAGGCCAGGGGTTGGCACTTCTTCTGTGTTTTAACTGCATTGCTTCAATGCCTGACACCATGCCCAGCCACTCTTCACCTTTATCTACACTGTTTCTACTGCTCATGATGTTCCTCCCTCTCTCTATCCAAAGGCCACTTGCTTTCCAAGTCCATCCAAATCCTTCCTCTTCCTGTCATCTCATGTCAGTCATCCCAAGCCTTAGTGGTCTTCCCTGAATAACAGCAATCTAACATCTACTGAGTACTTAGTACTTAGTACTCAGTCCATTGCCAGACTATGTGCTGAAGTCTCCCTGTATATTGTTCATTCCTATCTTCTGGCTACCTGGGGGGAAGCACAACATCCTCATGGAATGAGGAGAAAAATAAGGTTTAGAGGGGTTGTCACTTGGCTAAATAAAGCTGCTCACCTTGTGATGGCAGAGGAGTGTGAACCTAGGAAATTCGATTTGGGGCTTATTTAGGCTTTTACCTTCAATGTAGTGCTGCTCTTCCATCCTTCCTCACTGCAAGCACTAGTTTTACTTATAATCTGGAGACTGCAGGCCCCTTGCAGGCAGGGACCAAATCTAGCACTCTCCTGTGTCTGCAGAACTCCAACCCCAGGTGGGGACATGCTGCTGCCCACCACAGGTGCTGGTAGGGAGAAGAAGCAACCCAGGGCATCAGGGAACTGCTTTGGGTTGGTTCAAGGCTCTACCTTTTCAACAAGCTGAGGGATCTTAATGCCACCCATTCTGTTTCTCCCTGAGCTGGGTTGGATCAGGGAACTTTGGAATCCCTTCAAACCCAAAGGCTCCTGCTCAGTTTTCTAGACTTACTTCTAAGCGGGTCCGGTCCACATCCTTGGGCAGTCGATTTCTTCCTCTTGTGGTCACCAGCAGCAGTTCATAAGGGTAGATCTAGGGAGAAAAGGGTATGTGGGAGGCATTTCCAGCTTGGGTAAGAAAGATGGGTCTTTCAGCCATAGTTTGTATTTGGGTTCCTTCCTCTATTCAGAAAGGAACAGAGATTAAGTCTGGAGGAAGGCTGGACTTGCCCCTGTTTGGATTGCCTAGAAGCCTTAAGGCACCTCCTCCCCAAAGGCAAGGCCCCACACAGTCCCCTTATTCTGCCAAAGAGAACCTTGATGATATCTGGCATTAATGCAGGCACAAGGCCTCCTGAATGTATTTCCTAAGTGCTGATTAGTAAGCCACCAGAGTCCTTGAAGCCCAGGGGAATGGCCTGATTTCACAGGCAGGAGACTTGGGCAGGATTCAGGGAAAGTAGTCCAAAGAGGGACAGGAAATGTTAGTCTTGAAAGAACTCTGGAGATTATTCATCTATGTTCCCTTTCCTGCATAGATGGTGGTGTCATCCTCTTGCTGATCCCCAATGTAGTGGCTCCCAGCATCCTGGAGACCCCCAGGGTCTATGTATCCTTTACCTTGTACTCTGCAGGGAGAAAAGAGACATGAACAGAGTAGAACCCATCAATCTTGACTTTACATCACTACCCTGGCTGCTGTTTTGGCCTCCAAAGAGGTCTGGCCTCCATACATCTACTGGTCTTGATCATCCAGAGACCCTGTCCTGGCTGAATTCACCACAGAGAATAGCCACAGCTCATGTGAGTATGGTGAATGGGTGCAGAGAGGGGTTAATCGTGAGATGGCTTTAAGGGAAAAACAGGTTTTGAGATATTTAAAATTGAAATAAAAGGATCTGAGCTCATGAAGCACATGGACATGAACTTCGTCTTCTGGGGGGAAACCACGAAGATTTTGACATGGGCCCTTCCTCCCTGTGCCTACTCAGAGGAGCTGGTGGGGGCTAGCGTGAGAACTTTCCTGGCAGAGAGCACACAGGTCATGGAATTTTTTTTCTGGGAACAATGTCCATTTGGCTCTGGGTGTTTCCCTTCACCGGGGCTGGCAGGCAACTTGAGCTCAGCAGTACAGGGATATCGGCACTCTGCAGTAGCTCTGGGAACCCAGATGGGACAGATGGCCTGGAGAGCACCCAAGGTTGGGGACTTGAGAGGAAGAGGAGGGGGAAAAGAGGGAGTGGAAGTAAAGGGAGTGAAACTCAGGGTTTGGACAGAGCCCAGGGTGGAGATGGAATCCTAGCAATTGTTTGTCAGAGGTCAAGTAGCAGCTATGAGCAGTACATCCGGAGTTCCTGGGAAGTCCCAGAAGGAGCCACGTCCTGTAACCCAGGCCAGGCCCATGCTCACCTCGCATGCCCCAGTTGACTGCATTCATGCTGTCATAGTGGAAGAGGTCTGCGCTGGGTGTCTGCAGAGGAGACAGAGCCGGGATGGTCTGAGATATGCTTGCCTCTGCCTCTCTGAAGATTCACTCATCTCCAGAATATGGACCAGGGTTGATGGGGAATAGGGCCCCTGTGCAGACTCAGTCTCAAGATATGGAAATCTAACTCACTGCTGCCTTCCTGCACCTGGACCTAGCACATATTAGGCACACAATCCTTACCCATTTATTCTGTGAATTTAATCTCAGGCTCTATTTTATTGCCAAATACCCTGTTCTATGAGATCTCTGCTAACAACACTGTTGACAATTGGAAGTTATCCCCTCCACAAACTCTCAGGCATCCTTAACCTGCTCATCTTTTAAATTTTTTTCCATAGCACTAACTTCTAACATTCTATATAATTGGACTATCTCCCTACTTATTACATACTTTCTGTTTCTTCCTACAAAAATGTCAGCTCTGAGGGGCAGGGATCTTTGTTGATTTTGGTCACTAATGTATTCCATGTCCCCACTGTAGTACCTGGCATACAGAAGAAGCTTTCAATAAACATCCGTCTAATGAATGAACATCTGGCATCTGACCACAGTGACAGGGTCCTCAGCATGCAGGGGTTACTAACACCAGCCACTGCTCCACAGGTGTCCTTATGTCCTACCCTAAGACAGTCTCCTAATGAATCTATGGCTTCCATTTCTGCCCCCCTGAAGCCTCTATTCCACACACCAGCTGGAGGGAGCCCATTAAAAATCTGAGTTGGATCACACAGCACATTTAGGGAAACCCTCTGAAATCCTTACCCAGTGTGCAAGGCCCTAATGACTTTCCTGCCAGGTTTCATCTCCTCCATCTTCAGTCCTGGTCATGTGGCTCAGGATCATTGCAGCCTCCCTGCCCAGGGACTTAGACACTGCACTTCCCTGGATCCAGATGGCTCTTGCAGGTGGTGAGGGTTCCTCCTCACACTCAGGAGTTTGTTTAAATCCACTCCTCTCTGACCATCTTTTTCTACTCCCTGTTTGTTTTGCATTCTAGCACTTCCAACTACCTGATTTTATATCACACATTTTCTCTTTTTTGGTACCGGGGATTGAACTCGGGTCCTTGTGCTTGCGAGGCAGGCAGCGGAACCACTGAGCTAAATCCCCAGCCCACACATTTTCGAATTTACTGTCCATCTCCAACTGCAGGATCCCCAGCACCTGGAGCTATGCCTGGCACTTAGTAGGTGGGCAGTAAATTAATATCTATTTCAATGTTCCTGGCTTATGCCCTGTCACACCCCGTCACATGTCCAGTCACTTGACCTTTCCTACTGCTAGCAAGACGTGTTTTAATGTCTTATAGCCTTTCAGCCTATAAACCAACTCACTGCTTCCATGAAGGCTTTGTGTTACAGGCTGCCAAAGAGCTCAGAAGGCTATATGCTGTTTCAGAGGCCCCTGGCACTTGACAGTCAGCTATGAGCTGTAAGGAGAGTGGCCTTGGCTTGAACCCTGGCCCCACTGTGTACTGGGTGTGAGAGTCTGGGGACACTATGTCATCTTTCTCTGCCTCCATTCCCCTATCCACAAAGTGGGTTGTTAATACCAACTACCTCCTGTGGGTTGTGAAGGTCACAGGAGTCGATACTTGTAAAGTTTGGTATCTGGCACATAACTCTTGCCCAATAAGCATTAGTTTTCTCCAGCCCATCTTCTGGGGGCCTCTTCATACTGGGCACAGAAGGGAGGGGAGCAAGTCATTGCCACGGATTCTTTTAGTTAACCCACCTCTACCCCAAGGCCTTTGCTCCATTTTTACCCATAAGTATTCACCAGAGCAATTGGGGGAATGTCTCCCAGCCAGCCTGTCTTACCCTGTGCAGCCCGTTTCTCCTGTAGGCAGGCAGGGAAGCAGATTTGGAGATGAGGGGATCTGAAAAGAAATCAGAGCAATTACTAGGAGCCCCAAGCTAGGGGCCATCTGTCTACAAATGGCCAATGTTACTCCCAACTCAGTGGGAAGGGGCAGGAGCCAGAGGCTACCTGTTCCCCCTGATATCCTCCGCACCTATAGCTTGACCATCTTGGGGATAACTGGCAGGATTCAGGCCCACCAGAGGCACCTATGCACACAGTCTTCTGTCCTACACACACAGCTTTCCTATGAGGGTCCCCTGTGTTCTGGCCTCAGCATGCCTCTGGATAAAGGACCTGGAATTGGAGCCAAGCTCAGAACCAGACAGGCAGGCTCCCAGGTGGGTGGAAGATGCATGCATATGCTTTTTCCTTCTCTTTAGGGGTGGTTGTACATGGCCTTCCTGGTTCTAGAACCCCAAACTGAGGCCACAACCTGCCAACTTCAGTGGGGTGGACTATCTGAGATCAGGACTGTGCCAACATTTACTGTGCGGCCATCAGAGATTCAAGGAACTGCAGCTGACTTGACTCTGCCCTTGCAGGACACAACAGGCTGGAGGTGGGGCAGGCAAAACGTACCACTGTCAGCCAGGTAGTGCGAACGAGGGGCTGCAAGAGAGAAGAGCCAGAAGTCAGTGTTCATGGGGAAGAAAGACATAGGAAAAGAGACATAGTTTCCATCCTTGGGCACCCTGGCTGGGGGACAGAAGAACCTCTTTCAGCACTTCCTTTCCCACTGGTCAGTTTGCAGTTGTCAGAGCTGCATTCCACCCTCCCTCCTGCAGCCAGTTTCCAGCCAAGCACCTGGTTCAGAGAAGGTGCTCTGGGATGCTTGTTGTTCAAATGCAGTTGTACAGAGGTGAATTTTGAGCAGCCTTGGTGCACTGCACTGAGTCCAGAACTAGGGGCTGAAGACAGGGTCGCTCAGGGATCAGACAGGGAAATGCCATCAGTTCACCCTACCTCTGCCATCACTAGGGGCCTAACTGCAGACAAGTTACTTAATCAGGCTTCTGTTTTCTCATCTGTAAAATGGGAATGACAGTGTCTTCTTCACAGGTCTTTTGTGAAGAACAAATGACAAAACACAGTAAGATATTAGCACAGCATTTGACTCATGTCACCAGTACCCCCACTGTCTTCAAACTTATCAAGATCAAGGGTGGAACTAGGTGAAGATGGAACAGCTCATGGCCTTAGGTCACGTTAACTCAGGTCTGATCCTGGCTCAGTCACTTAGTGGCTTCCTGATCTTGGGAGGAGGCATAATTTCAGTTCTTTCATCTATAAAATGAGTGATAATAATCTTTCTACATTGCTGGGATCTGGGAGGACCAGGAATGATAATTCCTGGCACACAGGGATGTAATAAATGATTTAGTGTCCATCAAGTATTGATCTGAGATGGGATTTCCTGGCAAGACTGAATCCCACAGAGGTACCAAAAAAAAAAAAAAAAAAAAGGAGGCAGAGAGTATGTATGCATGTGGAGGAAGAGGAGGAGCTCGCAGCAAGAGATTCTCCAGGGGAAATGCTTGAATGAAGCACCTGCTTATATACCTGCAAAAGATGGGAGGCTCAGCACCTCTGGAAACAGGCCCCTATATCTTTGAGACACTCAGACTACAGTACTAGGAGATGTGTTTTCATTCTACACTGAGCCTGATTAGAAGTCACAGCTTATGAAGGCCCAAATAAGAGTTCAGGGCAGAGCATGGTCTCATTTGTTGCTGCATCCAGCCCTTTACCAAGCTTGTATTCCAGACCCAGGGGAGGATCCCAAAGGCGGCACCAGGGGAGGAGGAAAGTGGTGGGCCTGAATTAACCTCTGTGGCCAGCCTCCCCTGATCCTGTTATAGACCAAAGGATTGAGTTTGGGGCTGGCTGTATTCTAACAGAACTTTCAGGAAGGAGGAGTGCTATCGCTTATGTGCTCAGTGGTCTTGGGCAAGTTCCTGAAGGCTAAGGTGCTTAGTTGCCCACCTGTAGTAAGTGAGGGGTTGTCGCACTTAGGATGGAGGGTCAACTTGATTGGCTTTGGGACCCACGCCGGGGACTGGTAGTGCACACTTCTGGGTATTTCTGAGTGACTCATGGAGGTGTGGCTTTGGGTACTATATATGGTCCCTGGACCATTTTCTGGCTGGTGCTATTCCCCTGCTCTGTTTCCCAGCTGCCATGAGGCAGGCATCTTTGCTCCACCATGATCTTCCACCATGATGTTCTTGCTTTGGAGCCACAAGACCGTAGACCAGTGATGGGAAACCTTTTAGAGCTTTCAATGATAACAAACGGCCAGCTGTGGCATGTGTGCCATAGGTTCACCAACACTGCCACAGACTGAATTCTCTGAAGCATGAGCTTAATTAAACTCCTCTTTTAAGTTAAACTTAATTAAACTCCTCCTTTAAGTCCTCAGCAATTGGAAACCTGACTAATACAGGAACGCACTGTACAGAGCCGTTGGGAAGAGTAGAGGATGTTTAGGCTGTGCCTCACAAAATGCCTGGCTCAAAGGGTACAGCCAACAGATGCTGGCATCCAAAGCAGTGCTTACAGCCATTGAGGGACATATCATAGCCAGCTGTGTGCAAGGCCTCCCGGCTACTGGTGGAGCTCCGAGGAGGGGTCCAGGGATCCGCATAGGAGCTTGACCGGGCTTTCATCTCCTCCTTCAGAATCAACCGGCCAATTCCACTCTGGAGCTAGGGGTGGGGAATAACAAGACGAAGTTGGAAGGAAGGAAAGGACATGAGATGGAACAGGTTTGGGAAAGGCCGAGCTGCTGGATCCTCTATAGGCAGCCTCCATCACGTTTGACTCCCCAGCACTGTGCCTCTGTGTATACCCATGCTTTCCTTCTGGGACTACCTCTCCCTTCCACAAGTAAACCCGAGGTCTGGATGAGGGTCTGGAGGTGGCACAGAGTCACAGTGATTGGTTTAATGACAGGAAGACAGCCATTTAAAAAAATTGAAGTGAAAATCATATAACCTAAAATTAGCCATTTTGAAGTATGGTCATGTCACAGTGTTCATAGGGGCCTGGCTGCAGGACTCCCTCACTCCCAAAAGGACCACAAACTCCTCAGCACTCAAGTCTCTTCTGTAAAATGGAGTAGTATTTGCAACTCACCTACGTACACCCTCTTGTATACTTTAAATCATCTCTAGATTACCTATGGAAATGCTATGTAATAGTTGTTATGCTGGATTATTTAGGGAGTAATGACAAAAAGTCTGTACATGTTCAGGACAGACAATCTTTTTCAAATGTTTTCTATCTGTAGTTGGTGAATCCATGATCTGTAGATACGGAGAGCTGATTGTGAACAAGGCAGTGGCAGTTAATAAATTCATAATGTTGTGCCAAGACCACCTCCATCTTTCCAAACATTTTTATTACCCCCAAAGAAGACTCTGTGCCTATTAAACAATCACTCGCCATTCCGCTCTCCTCCCTAGACCCTGATACACATCAATTTCTGATATGACTCCACAGATTTGCCTATGTTGGATTCTGTATATAAATATAAATGGAAACACATGATTTGTGGGATTTTTGTGGTTTTTTTACCCACTAGGATTGTGCTTGGGGTTCATACACACTGAGACATGTATCAGTAACTTCATTGTTTTTCAGAGCTGAGTAATGTTCCATTGCACGAATATGTCATGTTTTGTTCATCCATTTGTGAGTTGATGGACATTTGGGTTGTTACTACCTTTTGACTATTGTGACTAGTGCTGCTGTGAGCATGAATGTACATATATTTGTTTGAGTCCATGTTTTCAATTCTTTTGGGTATATACTTAGAAAAGGAATAGCTAGGTCCTATGGTGATTCGATGTTTTACTCTTTAGGAACTGCTTTCCACAGTGGCAGGACCATAGTACATTCCCACCAGCGATCTATGAGGGTGGCACCCAGTTACTGCTACATGAAAAGGACCTGTCATGAAACCAACACAGAGGTAAGCCTCACAAAGGAAGGAATTTACTAAATGCAACACCCCATGGCTTTTCTTTTGGTGTAATAGATCTAGCTATATCTGAAGCTAATCCTACCATTTAACTTTTCAGTTCTGCAAAGCTGTGCATTCTTTTTTTTTCTATTAAGTAAGTTCAAATTTGGTTTTTGTCACTTGCAAATAAAAAAAAAATCCTGTAAGCATTTTATTCAGTGATATGGTCTGCTTACCTTGTGCATACTGCGGTCAAAGTCATCCTCCTCTCCTCCAGATGAGAACCTTCTGGCTCGGGGCGCTGCAGAAGGACCATGGGATCAGCTCTGGCAGATTCGCCCCACTCAGCCTGCGCTGGCTTAAGCTGTTGCCTAACCTCCCATCCCTCCTTCTTTCCCTCCCTCCCTCCCTCCTTTCTTGCCTCTCTCCTCCTTTCCTTTCCTTCCTTCCATTAGTCTCATCCAAGATACATTCTGGAAGTCGTTCTGTGTTTGCACTCTCCGGAAAATTACCTCCCATGGGTGCTGGTCCCTGTCCACTTTGGGTTATAGTTGTTTCTCTGTGTTACCTTCTTTTCTAAATTGAGAATTATCTGAGGGTAATGAAGGGGTCATCGCTGAGCATCGATGAAGCTTTGCTTAGACTGGACATTCAATTAGCAAAGCCAAGTGTTGAATCAAAGAGGATCTTGAAGAAAATTCCTCCCAGAACAAGAAATAGCTTGGCTGTCTGATTGTGTGGGGTGGTCCCTTGATGATCAGGGTGCCTACCTATCAGAGCCTTCCATCTCCCCACATCCTTTCCTTTTCTATTCTCCAAGCCATTTTTCACTCTCTGGCCAAAGTGGTCTCTCAAAAGCATAACTGTGATCATATCACTACTTCCAGTAGCTCTTCACTGTTTAAGATAATAACTAAAACCCTTCCTTCAACTCAAAAGGCCTCATCCCACACTTGCTCCAGATCCTCTCCAAGCTCAAGGTTAAGCAGAAAACCTTTCTTTTCCTCCAGTGGAACCTGCCTTCCCATCTCAGGTCTTTGCAGATGTATTTCTATACTCCTCACTGACTTACTTCCTTGTCACCCTTTCTACGGCAACTGAGTTACTGCATCTGAGGAGCTTTTGTCATCCTCTGGCTGGAAAGCATGCCCCAGACATCAACTCTCTTACCTCTTGGGTATCACTTCCCTCTTTCAGTTGGGACCTATGTCTCCTTCACAAGGGCAGGAACCTGGTCTAATTTACTACCTAGTGTATCCCTAGGGTCCATGGCTGGACCTCAATACCTGCTCTTGAATGAATTAAAGTCCTCAGTAGAGCTCTTCTAAGCTTTCTTTTTCAGAATGGCTGCATGAAGGAGTGGGTGACAGTCCTGACCTCCCTAGTTCCTGGCATAGGAGCCAGAGTTCTGGCCCCTGGGACCTATCAGGATGCTACCTTTGGGGGACCCATGGTAGGTCCAGTACTCAGACTCTGCAGCATAGTAGGGGTCTGGCGAGTAGGCTGGACTGTACTTGGAGGCCTGGCTGATGTCTTCACTTGTTTTGCTCTTAGTTGCTGTAGACAAATCACCTGCAAAGAACCCAAGGAGAGTGCTTCAGGAAGCCAGAGTGCCTGGCTGGGAACCCTGCTAGGCTCAGCCCAAGGGTGGGATGACACTTTGGTGTCAGAGGCCTCTGGTAGGAGGGTCTGAGACATGGAGCATTGGAGCTAGAAAAGCCCTGGGCCAACCTCTTAATTGTATATTGGGGATCTGGAGGCCAGACAGGGGAAAGGGCTTGCTCAAGATCACACAGCAAGTCTGCCTCAGAACTAGATCAAACCTAAGCTGAGGCTCCTTCCAGCACATCCCATGGACTCCCCTATTTGTTCCTTAGTGAACATTAAAGCTGTACTTAATATAAGATGTAACAGGTCCCAGGTGAGCTCAGCCCTTTCCTCGCTGGCCCTTTACAATCCTCCCTTGTTATGGATCTGAACCACTTCTAGGAGGGAATCGCCACTTGGGGCTGTGATCCATGTCAAGTCCACCTTCTCCTTACATCCTGAAATTCCACATCCTGACTGGGGACTCTAAATGCCCCCAAATACAGTGAGTCAGTAAAGCTGCATTCTGTTTCCATCTCTGCCACTTAACTTGGGTGCAACTCTGGGCAAATCCTGCCCATCTCTGCCTCAGTTTCCTGATCTGTAAGGGTTGGAATTGGTGTTCTGGCTCAGATGGAACCTGGACTCAAGCTTCCATCTGAAGTAAGCCCACAACTGGGTGATCAGAAAACCCATTTTAGGGCTGGGGATTTAGCTCAGTGGTTTCGCCACCCGCTGCGCAAGCGCAAGGACCCAAGTTCGATTCCCAGTACCAAAAAAAAAAAAAAGAAAAAAAAAGAAAACCCATTTTAGGCACAAATACTTACTGAGAGGCCTAAAGACTGGATACAGGCTGACAGGGCAGAGAGAGGGCGAGAGGGAGAGGGGAGAGGGGGAGGGAGAGAGAGAGGGAGGGGGGAGAGGAAGAGGGAGAGGAGGAAGGAGAGGGAGAGGGAAAGGGAAAGACTGCAGAAACTAGCATGGCACTGCAACAATTTGGCTCTTATTTTTTCCCTCTTCCCCTGCCCTCCCTTCAATCCCTCCACCCCTCCCTATTTACAAAGACTTTGTTTCCATTTTTTATTTTCTCATATTAATTCCATTCCCTTCTTTCCTTTCCCCTACTCCTCCCACTTCCCCTTCCCCTTTTCTTCCTATTTCACATTATCTATTATACCTTTTAGTCCTTATTTACACTTTCAGTTTCTCACACTAGAGAAACTATTTGGTATTTAAACATGTGTGTCCTGTTTATTTCACTTAAGAGTATTGCCTCAATGTGCATTGACTTTTTTTTTTTGTACCAGGGATCGAACTCAGGACCTTGCACTTGCAAGGCAGGTGACAGAACCACTGAGCTAAATCCCCAGCCCTAGCCCTAGCACTGCAACAATTTGAAAGAGAGCTACAGGGAAACTTTAGGGATAAGCTCTACATGCCACGTAGTCAGAGCAGCAGAGGCTCCTAGGATGATTGCCTTCAGCCAGCCAGGACTTTGTATCCTTCCCAGTAGCAACTGCTGCCAAAGCTTGTGAATTCTCCTTTGATTTGGCTCCTGGATGGTCCCTCCTGGCTAGCTGAATTTTGCCAGTTCATCTGCCCTCTGACGCATGCAGCTACCTCCACCATGGATTCCTGAGTCTGCTTTTGTGATACTTCTCAGGGCCCAACTGGAAGATTCCATGAAGCCCTGAGAAGTGTGGAACATGGGAGCCCCTTCTAGATGTAGAGCCAAACCAAATTTGGTCAGCTTTGGTGCCTTTCTATGGCCACTGGAGGGCACACAGAATGTCCTCCACAGCGATGTGTACACATGCACACTCAGACCCACCGTGAGCCCCTGATCAGCCCCTGGAAACTGAGGATGTTTCTGTAAACTGGAGGCTCTTCAGCACCAGAACCACTATTTACATTTGCGATGTCCCTTGCATCAGCGGGCACAGGACTATTTGGCCCACTTCCAAGCTTGATCCAAGTCTGTGCTCCCTCTGATACCCAACTAGACCTATAAGTAAGCAAGGATGCCCAGATGGCAACTGCTCCTTTGCATCCTCAAAGGGAGGGATGTGCTTATTCAACTGAGGCACAATAAGTGCTTCTGCAAAAATGAGTAGGAAGTCTCAGTGATGAAGGGGTTGGTGGCTCTAATACCGAGTGTAGGTGGGAATTATGCACAAAACCAGTTAGTGTAGATCCTGGGTCAGACTATTAGTATCTCTAATTAATAGTGTCTGGGGACTGCAAAAGGGCAAGGAATGTCCCATTTTAATAAGTCTCCAGGAGCAGGTAGTCTTTCTGGAGACTGACTGCAAATAGCTTAGAGCAGTCGGCTCCCAGTCTGGGCTGGGTATCAGAGTCACAGATAAAAACTATTAAAATTACAATTCAGCAAGTTTAGGGAGTTTAGGGTGGGGTCTAGGAATCTGTATGCCTCCCATAAAATTCTAATAAATACTTTTGGGTGTCATTGTCTCAGAGGTGTAATTCTTCCAGGGCTGCATGTGTTTCATAAGAATTACTCTGATCATGGGTTGTGGGACACCAGACAGTGGGTAATTGGGATTGGGAGGTGGTGGGAAAGGATTTTGGGAACATGAGGGCTTTCTTTCTCTTCTGAAATAACATCAAACTCTTCCCCAGTGTTACTACAAGTGACTGTGGGGACGCGAACAAGAAGGACCAAGTTGTGGCCTTGCACTGGGTTGCTTCTGGTGACCTGTGCAGAGTCATCTGCAGAGATGGTTAATGACTCCCTTTTCTTGACTGGCCAAGCCCTATCTGCCTCTGACCATACCATGCCGCTTGTAGATCGGGGGTTTCCGGTAGATGTTACTTTCTCCAGCTGTCAGACATCAGGAAGGGACAATGAGGAAGAGAGAGAAAGACAGGAGAGAAGGAGACAGTCAGTTGATCTCTGAAAAAAGAGAGTTTTAGTAACTTTACCCAAGGGGCCACCATCTTTACCCAACTCTCCAGAGTTGAACCTCCAATTTTACCCCAACAGGTTCCAGGTAAGAATGGCAGGGTGTGTGTGCGGGGGCGGATGGATACAAACAGTGCCAAGGAAGAGATGGGGAAGATGGGGCTAAATGGTGGGCATGCAGGATGGGTGGGGAGCATGCTCAGCAGACCCCATCCAGGAAGATGTCCACTGTTCCTCCCAGTGGTCACACCTTGTTCCACGTGACAATGCTGCAGCCATGTTTCAGCATTATCTTCCTCCCCCCACCCCACAAAATCAGACAGGATGGGACCCTTCTGGGGCAGCTGGGAAAGGTCTAGATGAAAGAGCAGGCCAATCTCTTATGGGGAAAGTGAGAGGGGAGTGAAAAGCTGAGCTCGGAGCTGGGAGGTAGGATCTGGGCCTGGCTCTGCTGTAACTCAGGGTGCGACCTTGTCCTGCAAGACTACACGTGCAAGGG